AATCCTTGTATAGTATCCTTGCTGTTTACCAATCCTTGTATAGTATCCTTGTTTTTAACCATCTGTTGAATTTATAAATCTAATTATTATATTATTTCAAGGCAAATGTTTAACTTGTCAAAGATATTCCAATATTCTTGTAAACTTGAGTTTAACGATATACACTATACAGTACAATTACAGGGTGTGTCAATAAACATGACAATTCAAAGACACCTAATCTGAAAAATTAAACGTGTCTAACATGTTTCAGTCCTTATTCAAACATTTTCATTTAGAACTAAGGCTAAGGAGGATATTTAACATGTTTCACAAAATCCAACACCAACTTAGCATTGTATGGGTTTATTATTAATAGTCTTGTTGGACTAAATCAGCAAACCAAAATGCAACAAGAAACTGCACAAATCTTTTGTGAAACTACGATTTTTCTTTCTACAGTGAAACCCTTAATAACGAATACATCGAAAGAATTCATCAAATGTCGTATTCTTCACTTTCTAATAATGGAATGTTGCAGATATTTAGTTTTTTTTTAAATAAATGATTACATGGAACTCTTTAAAACTGTTCCTGCATATTCATGGCTATTTATTTATTTTCGTAAATACTGAAATTTACGAAATATAGTATAAAACTTATTGAAAAATTGTCAAGACGACATTCGATAAATTCTTCCGATGTATTCGTTATTAAGGGTTTTACTGTATCATATTCACCGTCCAGTTCCCAACCTATACGAAATAAATGCAGGGTTATTTACAAAGAATTAGAATGTAGGGATGATCGAAATCTCTTTCTTTACAATGATCAAAAAATTCAGAGTTCTGTATAATTGAAGTTATCATACAGTGAAACCCTTAATAACGAATACATCGAAAGAATTTATCAAATGTCGTCTTGACAATTTTTCAATGAGTTTTATACTATATTAGGTAAATTTCAGCATTGGGGAAAATAAATAGCCATAAATATGCGGGAACAGTTTTAAAGAGTTCCATATAATCATTTAATTAAAAAACTAAATATCTGCAACATTCCATTATCAGAAAGTGAAGAATCCGACGTTTGAAGAATTCTTTCGATGTATTCGTTATTAAGGGTTTCACTGTATCAGTAATAACAAATGACGTTGAAGATAAAATAATAATTTTACAACATCTAACCTACCTTTGTAATGGTAATTTTCTCAATGTCAAATAATTATGTTTACTTCAAACAAATGCCTAGAATCCATTTCATTTTGATGCGGATCAGCGCCCATGGATTGTGGATCCATTGGTCATGAACATTTATTTAAGATTAACTGATCTTTTAACTAATGACAAATTTTCCGCATTTATGAGATTTGTGTTTGAGATCACAAATTTGGGTTTAAAGTAGATCATGGTTGACATTTTGCAAAATTTTGCGGATCCAGATCTAGGAAGCCAAAATGTACGAATCTGGATCATAAGCAATGCTTTATAAACCATTTTCTGTTTCATATTTCAAATTTCAAAAACGTCAGAAAAGTTTTTGCAAATCGGTCAATATTGAAGATAAGCATCCAATAAAAAGTGCATTCAAGCCATTCATCCAGTTGGTTTTTAAAATTCGCAATTATCATTTGGCCAACAAAGTCAATATGTATTAGAGAAGTAACATCAAGCGAGGGGAGGAAGGCTAACCATAACAATTTATAGTCCGAGCCACATTCTCCTCATTTTCTCGTCCGAGCCACATTCTCCTCATTTTCTCGTCCGAGCCACCTCAAAATCCTAGTCCTTCCACTAATATCTTTTTTAAATGTCCAAGCCTTGCAGATAAAAATATTTGTTGAAAATCTGGTCATGTTAGTGCTAAAACAATACATTAAATTTTCCCAACCAAACTTTAAATATGTAAAAAAAATAATATGCTTTGTAAAAAATGTTCTACAAAAAACAATAAACAAATGTATCAATGGGAAGGATGAGAATTTTGAGGTGTGACGGACGAGAAAATAAGGAGTATGTGGCTCAGATGAGAAAATAAGGAGTATGTGGCTCAGACGAGAAAATAAGGAGTATGTGGCTCAGACGAGAAATTGTAGTGGCTGTCCTGCCTCCACTTGACCAGCAAACTGCTGAAAGAATGAGCTGCGGTATTGCCGTAACACATTCTGAGCACTATTATGGCGACAATCTTTGCTGATATTCTGCTTCTAAAAATAAACATTTCAAATTCGGATTTTCGATAAAAATACTGTTTGAACTCATAGGGTTGTCATGAGTAAATTGTAGCCAATGATTTAAATATTTTAAATTCCACATTATTATTTACTTGGATAAATTCGTGTGACAGGCAATAATAGTGATTTGGAACTAGAAAATAAATTCCTTTATTTGCAAATATATAAAAATCAATACATTTTTTATATGGGTTGAAATGGATTGATTACAGACAATGTTCAAGCAAATCCTTTGATATTACTTTTGAATTATAAAAGTTCGGCTTTACACAGGCAGATGAGATTAAGTTTTACCCTAAATAATGTTTGACATTATTCTCTTCAATTTAAAGGTTCCAACTATTTTAGTCTAACCATGTCTTACGCCCTTACGTAGCCAGATTTTTAAGAAGATTTTTATATGTAAGGTTGTAAAAATAATATTGGAAAGAATGGGATTTCGAGATGGCTCGGACGAAAAAATGAGGAGAATGTGGCTAGGAAGCTAGAAATAGTTGTGGTTGGCCTTCCTTCCCTCATCAACCTGTATCAGAAAATAGACTTCAGTTCTGTATAAATCAGACCTGGAGCAAATCATCTCTTGTCACTTCTCCTAGTTCCAAGCTACAGGGTGATTATCAAACCCTAGTCCCGGCTACAGGGTGATTATCAAACCCTAGTTCCCGGCTACAGGGTGATTATCAAACCCTATGATTATCAAACCCTAGTTCCCGGCTACAGGGTGATTATCAAACCCTAATTCCCGGCTACAGGGTGATTATCAAACCCTAGTTCCCGGCTACAGGGTGATTATCAAACCCTAGTTCCGAGCTACAGGGTGATTATCAAACCCTAGTTCCCAGCTACAGGGTGATTATCAAACTTTGAAAAATATTTAAAGGCAATGTTCCCGTATTTTTACAGGAGCAGATCGGACATTTTGCAGTGTGCTTCAGAAAAGTATTAATGATTTACCTACACATAAAATACAGAATTGTAGAACATTATTATTTGCATTTTGACCAAAGTATAAGAACGCATGAAGTTCAGGTTTCAAAACAATGTTTATTTCGTACACACCGACCGACCAATGAAACAAAAGTTTCACTTCACATAAATTGTCTATAATAAATTGTGTCCAAATAAATAAACAGATGAACCGATTGGGCCCAAATTTGTTGTGAAAACTGACATTACCCCAGGGGAGTTTTGAAATTGAAAAATTGTGCCTGAAAAAAATGATGATTTTTCAAATGTTCATAAATCCGTCAATGTTAACAAAAAAATACATGAATTTTTAAACGCTAAAATATTTACTAGAAGCGCGCTCTTAAGGCCTGGTAAAATAAATATTATAAATAAAAAGTCCCTTTCTTTTATTTATTCATTCCTGACAAAAACCTACATTCTTGTAGATCAATTATCCCTGAGTTTGGTTTCAACTGTGGTTTCAAGATATCAATCAGATATTTGAACTCACGTCTAAAGGTTTTCATTTGATAAATGAAATCGTTATAAGATTATATATGATGGCCTATAATATTTGATTAGTAATTGTAGTTTTGTTATTTTCTGAGTGAAACCTGATTTTTTGCCGTAGGATAAGAATATGCACATTACACATTACACACGCACAAACTAACCCCCCCCCCCCACTCCTCCTCTCGACATCAATATCCTCTAGAACTATCTTTCCTTGAAGGAACTAGGTAGGAGTTATACTTTAAAGAACACTCTGCATGCAAATATGGCAATTGTCAATGCCCGATTCTGTATACCCTTTAACCATAATCTGGTAAAAAATGTGAAAGATACCGTCGTTTTTCTGGCTCGATAGTTTTTCCGTAGCTTCTTATACATGACTTGTAGGTCACTTTAACCCGTTAACTATCAATAAGCCCCTCACAATTTATGCCCTCATCTATCTTTACCCGGCCCTTCGACAAGCTATTGATTCACCATAACATCCATCAAAATCCTCTAAAAATATCTTCAACAAACTAGCTTTTAATTGCCCTCTCCTAAATTTTCAATTGCTCCTCCTAAACTTTTGATGCCGGAGACTTAAAAAATCAGTGAAGATCCTAGGAACATCAATGCCCCTGAAATATAGATGATTACACAGTCTAGTATTTTTGACAACTATGTAATGAGTGGAAATCTAGGACGCTTCGCTCCTCAAAATTTTACTAATTCTAACTTTATAGCGTCTCTTCAGACTGGGACCATAACGATTAAATAAAAAAATTAATTTGAAGTTTAAGAAAAAAAAAATATTTTATTTCATACCTATAACCTATTAGTTAAATCTAAAGGACCAAGCTCGTACATAGGACTTCAACACCAATTTGTAAACACTTCTATATAGCACCATCCTAGTCCCCCCTCTCCCCTAACAAAGGAAAACATTTTTTCCAAGAAGACAAAATGGCAGCTGAACGCGAATTTACTAAATTTTGAAGTTTTTGAAGAAACCCATGGGTACGCTGGGGTAAACATGGACTGAAAAAAGTTTTCTTTCAAATTTATATTAAAAAAAAATTTCGATGTTTTTAAAATTTCACAGGCAACGCCAGGCAATTCACCTAGATGTGTAATTAAGCTTTTTACTCTTATATATCCTAGAAACCAGAGGACGTCCTAAGGTCGTCATTGGGACGTCAATAATTACCAGTGCGACGTCATATTTTAGGTGTTGAGGATGTTTAACGCAAGGATTCTTACGTCCTCACGATCAAACTTTTGAAGTCGAAATGACGTCACTTTGGACGTCCAAATGACCAAAGTTTTAGAGGGGTTAGTAGGCTAGCTTTCTTTTCTCCCTGTTCAACCGGACTATCTGAGAGGGGTTAGTAGGCTAGCTCCCTTTTCTCCCTGTTCAACCGGACTATCTGAGATCTGTTTAGGACTGTTTGTCTTGTAGGCAAGATATGTGTTCCAGAACAGAGCAACTACATTCACCACCTGAACAAAACATTATTCTGTCGGCGTAATTTCAGGTGGACATTCATAACCGATTCACAACGGTACTCTTAAAAATCTTTGTCTGATCAATAATAAATGTGATTTCTATGTTTCACCCCCCTCTGGTTTCACTGATATAGTAAACTTGCAAAGATGTCAGAATTAAACACATTTTTAGCTGGAAAATAGAGATATTCACATTATTGATCTGATAAAGGGTACCGTTGTAAATCGGACATGTAACCCTTTAATTAGTGACATTTTTTAAAATCTTTATATTGCAATAATATCAAGGAGAAAGACATCAGGAGTTAGTTAGGGGCAGAACGGAGGGAACCAAATTTTATTATTTTTAATCCGTTCGTTAACAGATACTTAAATTTAAGTAACAAATAGGACCAAAGTAACGGTTCGTTAACAGTAACTTAAATTAAAGTAACAAATAGGACCAAAGTAACGTTAACAGTTACTTAAATTAAAGTAACAAATAGGACCAAAGTAACCGTTTGTTAACAGTAACTTAAATTAAAGTAACAAATAGGACCAAAGTAACCGTTCGTTAACAGTTACTTAAATTAAAGTAACAAATAGGACCAAAGTAACCGTTTGTTAACAGTTACTGAAATTAAAGTAACAACTAGGACCAAAGTAACCGTTTGTTTAAAATTTTGTGATGGTGATGGACCAAACCTCTGTAAAGTAAAAAAGTAGATGTTAGTTCCACATTTATTGAAAATATATTTTGGTCCGGGTTAACCCTCGTCAGTTCTTGAGATTGTTTCTGTCACAAAGATTAAAAACGAACTGTTTTCAACTAATTAATTTATTCTGTTCGAAAACGGAATTTTCCAGTAATGTTAAAAAACCCAGTCTTACTCCTTTATAATTTATAATTGGACAAAGTACGTTCCAGACTTTTAAAATATATATTCACGTTTTTGTATTTTGAATACTTAATGTTTTAGAAATAAAACTAATTTCAACAGTAAACTTTCCTGTAAAATATAAAAAATGTAGAAATATAGAAAAACTTGGCTTTTTAAAGGCATATTCAGCGCTAGATTTTTTATTCATTATTGTAAAACTTTATTTTTCGTTGATTTTCCTGTTTAAATTGGTACCAGGTACACTAAAATAGTTGGTGCGATCAGTTCAGCCGTTTTTACATTTAATGGATATAGACGTACATAAATATTATTAAAAACCATTCTTATAGTATCACAAAATCTGGAGAAATAAAAAATAAATATTTAAGGAACATGTTTTTATAGAAAATGTTTTCAGGAAAATCTACAAAAAGAATGAAGAAAATATAAAGTTTATTCTTTCGAGAAAATACAAAAATATTTTTCTGGATAAATATGAATGGAACGAATTGTTAAATGATACAACCATATGTTGCAATTAAAAGACATTTTTAATCTAAAATCGTTCAAACATGGCAATTACTTATTTCCAATATTGAAGTAAGAAAAAACAAAATGGTTGCATTTCCAAAATGTGCATGGCTACAAAAACAGTGAGTTGTAAAAATTAAAACACGTCTTGACAAAATTAACCATTATCAAAAAACTAACTCTTAAAACAAAATGTAGTCATTTTTTGAACAAAAAATAATTATGAATTTTGTAGTTAATAGAAAATATAACCGTTTCTCCTTGTTATGAAATAAAAACAGTGTATGTCAAGACGTAGTTAATTCTATCAAGTAATGAACAAATTTATAACACTAATGATATAAAGACCAAATTTATAATGTCTAAAATATATCTGAGCAAAATATATCAGTCCGAAAAAGTAATCGTTTTTATATGACAAAAACTTTAGGGTTTTGACCTAATAAAGATCTTTCAATTATGATATAATTTTTCAGTTTTTAATACTGTGTAACACAAAAAAGTGAAATGAAATTGGAAGACGATTAGACTGTTGCGGACTTTGAATAGTTTGAACATAAAAAAACAGCAATTGTGCAGTGTTTACAAAACTCATTTCACTTCATTTTCAAGCTACTGCATGCTAAGACCATCTTTTTATAAAAAATTATACATCTATGTTTGTTTGTCTAATATACATATCAAATTTCTAAATGGTCGTCTTCCTATTCTACAGTTTAATGGGTTGAGCTGTACATACCCCCTGCCCCTGGTGTAAGATGAATTATATGATTTACCTATGTAAAATCTAAACTATTACTTTAGGATAAACTACAGCATGAAAGAAGAAGGCTCAATTAGTGTGATCCACCCAAGAACTATATATGCAGGATGATTTAATAATCAAGAAGATTGTCTTTAATCATGTTAGTTTTCAACCTAAAAGAACATCAAAATGTTATTTTATTCTGAATTTAAAAACTAAGATATAATGTAAACCAGATTTTTATCGAGCATCTTAAGGGAATCTAATATTGGCACATTTTAAATTTTAATGTAAACATGTAATATTTAATTCTAAGCTTTCATGGTAAATAATGATCGTCATGTTGCAGATGATCTTGGGAGATCAAGATCAGTAAAGACTTGCTCCCTAATCCTATCTCAAGAAGTGAACCGTTAATTTAAATGACATTCAAGGTACAAAGTACAAAATAGTCATCAAAACTTTGTTCGGAGATCATATAAAGCATTAGATTCATTAATTTTAGTGCAGTTGTTGATCCAGTTGATCATCAAGAGTGATCAGTATAACCCGGAGTTCTTGAGGTTCCAAAAGAGGCTGTGGTTGTCTCACAAACACAAGCAGGTCAAGAAACAGAACTTATTGAAATGTATTCATTTTCAGAAGATAATTGATGTTGAAACGTGATTTCAACTGATTGATATTTAGATGCGGAACAGGACTGATACTCAACTTTACCAGAGCTTCCTATCTACAGTTTGATCCTTCATCTTATAGTCACCCATCTACACCTCAATCAGCTTTAACAAAGTTCTCACGGTGATCTAACGGGATCTCACGGTGATCTACAGTACACAGCTAGTCTGGAAAACCTCCTAGGTATTATTTAAATCTAACTTGAGTTAAACGTTAGATTAACAATAATTCCTATGCAGCCAGAAAGAATCTGAGGACGACTGTACGTATCGTTTCTGTACTACGTATTACTGATTCTCTTGAGGGATTGTATCTAGATCAATTCCAGTAGGTGAATACTTCTGACATTTTAATACTTATTCTTTAAAAGAATAAGATAGTTCCTGACCTGACTTTAAATTAATTCAGGAATATCCTGTTCTACATGCATTCATTCTACAGAATCAATGAAGAATTGCAGTCCACAGTGTTCACAGGACACACTTAAAAGGTTATTATCTAATAAACCTAATCTACATCAACTCTGTAATATCTACAATGAAAACCAGTTGCTTATAGTTCTTTACATTAGCAAGAGAAATTAAACTGACACACGGAAAACTAGAACCCTGATTAAAGCCCAACAGGATCAGCGTGCGACAAAACCAAACCGCCATCAAATTTAAGATTTATATTAGAAAGCTTGGGACACCATTGTATTTCGTAAAATATTCTCATGTGCCTTTTGAAACAGATGTTTTAAGCTTTTATGAAGTTCTTATATAACTCTTCAAATCCTTTTATCTGGTCGTAACATTTCACCAGAGATCACATTTTGAAATATTGGATTTTAATGTATTCTGTCAAAAAACTTTATCTGGTCACAACATTTTACCATTCATCACATTTTATAAATATATCATGCTAACTATGTTTATATTTTCAGCTTTACAGCTTGTTGATGATCAAGAAATAAACTTTAAAGACTTGATTATTTCTGTGTATGGGATGGCGTGTAAACAATACATTGGGTTAAAAATATGCAGTTCTATTGTTCCGACGCTGAACATTAAATTGAGAAAAGTGCACAATGCACAATCTATCTATTAAATCTTTATTTAAAGCAAACCTGTCAATATTCTGCCGAACCATTATCTAATTTGTTAAATTTGATTTCATTGGAAATTCAATATCAAATCCTTTGTAACTGTAAAAAAGGTAACACCAAAAAATAATTTAAAAAATACATTTATGGCTTACAACTAAATTAAGGAACGTCTAAGAGACTGAGTTTTCTAAGTTTAAATAAATGAATTTTTAGCAATGTGTTAGAACGTTGGAGAGTTCCCCATTATTCTAAAAATTGAAAAGCTCGTATTTTTTATTAGAAAACTGAAGTTGTATTTTATTTTTGGAAACTGAAGTTGTATTTTATTTTTGGAACACTGAAGTTGTATTTTATTTTGGAAAACTGAAGTTGTATTTTATTTTGGAAAACTGAAGTTGTATTTTATGTTAGAAAACTGAAGTTGTATTTTATTTTTGGAACACTGAAGTTGTATTTCATTTTTGGAACACTGAAGTTGTATTTTATTTTGGAACACTGAAGTTGTATTTTATTTTGGAAAACTGAAGTTGTATTTTATTTTGGAAAACTGAAGTTGTAATTTATTTTGGAAAACTGAAGTTGTATTTTATTTTGGAAAACTGAAGTTGTAATTTATTTTGGGAAACTGAAGTTGTATTTTATTTTGGAAAACTGAAGTTGTAATTTATTTTGTAAAACTGAAGTTGTATTTTATTTTGGAAAACTGAAGTTGTATTCTATTTTGTAAAACTGAAGTTGTATTTTATTTTGTAAAACTGAAGTTGTATTTTATTTTGTAAAACTGAAGTTGTATTAGATTTATGCTGGAAAGCTGAATTTGTATTATATTTATGTTGGAAGGCTAAAGTTTTTTATGCATCCTATTCTGGAAAATTAAAGTTTCACCACTATTCTTTGTTGGAAAGATTAAGTTTCCCAGTATTCTATGTTGGAAACCTAAAGCCCCCCTGTCTCCCAGTATTCTATGTTGGAAACCTATAAAGTCTCCCTGTCTCCCAGTATTCTAGGTTGGAAACCTAAAGTCTCCCTGTCTCCCAGTATTCTGGGTTGGAAGACTAAAGATTTCTTGTCTTCTATGTTATAAACAAGTTCATACTATATATTACCATACTTGTTTAAAAACCTGTACAGTTTACTCGTGTTCTAATCTAACGACAAAAATTTACCAGTATTCTATGCTGGAAGGGAACAAAGTAGAAATTAGCCAGCTGAGTTGCCGGCCATATCTTCCAATTAGTCAGCAATATATCAGTATAGTCTCGGCGTAGATTTGTCACAAGTTCCTAGGAAACGTATGCATTGATATCAAAATAGTTTTCTTGAAACCGAACCAACTAGTTTTCTCAGGATAAATGGGAAATAAATCAGGAAATAAATCACTGGTTTAATTTTTTAGATTTATTCATTCACTCCATGAACAAGAATTTGATGGTTTCTCTCAATATCCAAACAGGGATCAAAACTTTGAAAAATGTAGAAAAATTGACTTTCACCCAATTACTAAATTTGTTTTTACAGTATTACAGGTTAGAACACATGTTTGATCATTGCAATTACATTGCAAAGGATCTGGATCCGTTGGATACACAACATTTTGGTATCCTGGATCCTGGACCCTGGATTCAATGGGAAAAATTCCAGCCATAACCTGCTAAAAAATAACTGTCTGTTATCAAAACACAAATCTCAACTGTAAACTAATGAGCGATCATTAAAAATAACATACTCTCTGAATGGCTTATTGCATTCCAGCATAAAAATAAGCAAAAAACAGAAAATAAAAATAAGAACATTTTTCATTTGTTTATCAGAAGAAATATTTATTCCCAGGATCTGAATTATTCTACTAGGCCTTACCTGGGATGAAAGTCCATTAAGAGTTGATGCTGCGCTTACAAAAACAACAATAAAGCAGGGAGCAAATAGAGACTGATCCAAACACATTTTAGAGAACGCTCCCTTGGGGCCTGAAATCATTTAGTGCAATTGGTTACGAATATAACAAAGCTTTGTTCTTTCAGGTGGAAATGTTACTAAATAATAATAACCATAATCTCGGACAATGGCTGAAAATTAATTAACTACCCTAATTCAATAGCACATTTGAAGAGTCACAATTTACTTAACCTTGACGGTACTTCTAATTTAAAGAAAGAAAGAACAAAGATGACAATTAATCTAAGTCCATTTATGATACTAAAATGAAAATGAATTCTTTTATTTTACGGGGTTTGACGCATCATTTTGTAAAATAGTTATATGTTACTTAAGCATAGCATAGTTCGGTAAATATTGCAGTTTCTAACAAGGTTTTCCACAATGCAAATAATTCCTTTTGCAGTTCCAATATTGAAACACTAAAATAAATAATACAATAATAGAGTTCGACTTTAAATCCCTAAAATGTTCAAATGGAGGATCAAAGAAATGTAAAAGTAGGAAAATTAATAGGATCAATTTAAGTTTTATCAAGGTTGTTTCAAGAACAAGGCGGAGATCTTTTTAAAAAATGATATAATTTGGGATAAAAAACTGTCCAACCTGGGAATTTGACAATCTTCTCTAGAGTGAGATACCAGGTTCTAACACAGGGCGCTACAACACAACTACCAATCAGGAAAAATTTACCAACACGGGCCCATTCAAACTCAGACAGGGGTTTTCTAAATATAAATATTTAAAGGGAGCGTACACGGTTTTTAAAAAGAAGATGAGGATGAACTTTACTTCAAAGAGCAGTGAATTAAAAAACGAATATTTTAAATCCTGGTAAGAAGGTGACTTTATGGTTCATCTACCAATCAACGCCAACAATTTCTATATCTTAAAGAGCAAGTTTTCAAACTATAAATGGGGGTGTCGAAAGAACATGAAAGAATTATGAATTAGTAAATGGCCCTATTAAATGCAAGAAATTCTATCGTATCTTTAATGGCCCTGTCATACTCTTTCCGGCATGCTCGAATTTGAATTTATATTAAATTATGGTTTATCCGATTCCCCCCCCCCCGGAAGTTTTTTTTTTGGAAACTTTCCCTTGTCTGAAGGTTTACTGTACTTTTGCTGTATAAAACTCTAGGCTTTTAGGGTGCTTCGCGCCCATCTTCTATTTCAATTGTGAAAATGTTCTCTTAGTATACATTGTAAAACAAAATTAAAACAAGTTCGCAGATTTAAATTTTTTTGTGGAATTTCAAAATTTTCAAAAATTTAATGAAAATCAAAATTTGATGGGAGGCAAATTTTTGAAATTTTATTCACTTTTATTCTTTCATAGACCTTCCCTGGGGCCACGTGAGGTCCCACACAAAATTTGGGCCCGATCGGTTCAGCCGTTTTGACGTTTATTGGATACAAACAAACAAACAGACAGACAGACAGACAAGCTAAATTTATATATAGATAAAGAAGAATTATGTATTTGAGGATAAATTAAACCCAGTTTGTAAACCATATTTCTTATTTAAACTCTGAACGTAAAATAAATTATTACAACTTTTGAATCTACCTTTCTACCACTAGTTGAGATATCACATCTCCAGTTGCGCATAGAACACCTTAAAAAGACACAAAATTTCTTTCTTTTGATATTTTCCATAATAGAAATATAACAATAGTGTTAGTTCTACTTTAATTAAGAAGCATAAGCAATTAATATGTAATTAAAATTAAATCTTTTAAGAGCTCAAAACACGTAAAAAGAAAATTCTTCAGGTTAAAAAAAAAATTAGGATTACAATACTTAGTTAGTCTAATAATAATATCTGTAGAAAACTTATCCTACTTCTCTGAAGAAGGGGAACTTATCCTACCTGCCAGTAAGATATTGGAACCCCAGGGGAACTTATTCTACCTGTCTGTAGAATATTGGAACCCCAGGGGAACTAATCCTACCTGTCTGTAGAATATTGGAACCCCAGGGGAACTTATTCTACCTGTCTGTAGAATATTGGAACCCCAGGGGAACTTATTCTACCTGTCTGTAGAATATTGGAACCCCAGGGGAACTTATCCACGAACCTTGAGTAGGTTCTCCATATCGCCGCCATATTGGGAATATTTCCTAGATAAATTGGTAATCAAATATTGTCAGAACAATTTCTATCCAGTCTTCATTTTTATTTTGAGAGGAAATTGTTTTTAATAATTGTGATTAAAAATCAAAGGAAAAATATGTTTACAACTGATAATCTCTTGATTCTTTACTGTTTTTTAATCTTAGTTTCTAAACTTAAAATAAAAAGTTGTTATTATTATAGATGGTAGAGTTTATAAAAAACTTACGGTTTTAAGTGTTATTCTTTTCTTTTTCACATATTAATCTGAAAATACGAAGAAAAGAATAAAAAAGTAACAAAAACACAATATGAGGAGAACAAAATAATTACTTTATCCAATTTCCGCCATTGATATTGAATGAACAGAAACAGAATCAAATTATCAGATTGTTTCATTTGGAATAGGATAGGGTATATTTTAGAAAATTATTTGAAAAGATTTTTTCGGAAAAATATGACTTTAATAAAAGAATCATAAACATTAAACAGGTAAAATATGACACTATTCTCCAATACATAAGACAGGAGTTTATCTCTTTAATTAGGCTTTGTGAACATACTTTCTGAACAAGTGAAATAAATCAATTGAATTCATGTTCATAATTATTTCATAACAAATTGTAAAATTTAGACACTTGATTCACGTACAGCATGTAAATATAATTAAATAATTAATCACAGCTCACTGATTTAAAATTTATCATAAGAGATTTTTTCTTCAAAATGGACATCTCGTTTCTTGTTCAACGGTCCATTGTGATCTTCATATATTGATTGGTATTTCATTTTTTCAACCCTTGATAACAGCAATTGGCCTAAAATTATAAACGCGTTAATATATAATATATATTGAACTAAAACTTATTTCTGAAATTAACTTAACAAGTAAAATTTTTCCAAGAAACATAGTACGTACAAACTGAAAATGTATTCCATGACATTCTTTAACATAAAACATTTCTTCCATATTTGAAAAGAGAAAAATACACAAATCACAATATCGATTTTTTTCTGAAAGAAAAACTTCCAATTTGTAGGAATTAAACTTCGCTGTGAGTTATTCCGGCTTTTTTAGTATCAAACAAAGTCACGAAAACACCAAAAAATTTGTCGGCAAAAATCCTCGGTGAACCGGGTCAAAAATTATCAATATTTTAATCATTACAAAATTATCTAATTAATTAAAATGATTTAACTGCGTAACCTGAGTTTCATCGTCTTTTTACTGATGCCCGCGGCCTGACAAGTGTCCACCACATCCGTCACATTCTTGTAGGACTCGGGAGCCTCCTCCATCACAAGCTTAGGGGACGCTACTCGAACAGATATTCCCTAGATACCAGAAATACAAAATAAATCAGGGTTACATATTTCACGAAAAAAATCTACTTTCTTCTGAAAAACAAGCCCCCCCCCCTTTATTTAAATAAAAGTTGTATTTGGGTCTCCAATTTTGATTTTATTAGATTTTTATTGCATATTGCTCAATGCTTATTCTTACCTCACTGGAGAAAAAATATTTTTTTCATGAAGTAAAAAGAAAAAATTTAAATTATATACAGTTACGTTACCCTTTTCAATACTTCATGCCCAAAATCTTTTAACTACCCCTCCCCCCACCTACACCATAAACCATCTATTTCCCTCAATAAAGCCATTAGAACCCCTTTGATTAATTTCTTAAGTACTAGGGAAAAAATAAATCGACAGAGAAAGGGATTAAACTTATTTGTGGAAAAATACACATTAAATGAAACACTTGAGAAGTTATGACAAATGTGATCACCTTGCTTGCCAGTTTATCGAGCACATCTTGGAAATCCAGATTTCTTCGAGATTTTGCGCGGGAAATTGCCCGACCAGCTCCATGGCACGTGGAACCAAACGTTTCCTGACAAATATTAGAGTATATTTATTAATTGAAGCTGAGGAGGAATCCGCTATGATTCAACGGCTGAACTCGATATCCATTATCCAGTGGGCAAAATTTTGAATTAGGGCTAATTCCTTAATGCTGTCGTTGTTAACTCAGATTACAGACAAAAATCTGTTACTCTCATAGTAGTGAATCCTTAGAAAAAGTAGTGTAGGTGCCCCTTTAAAACCGCGGGTATTATATTTGAAAGGAAAAAAACCAAAACCTGGACTTTACGACAAGATTCTTTACTATGACTACAATCTCTGTTGTTAAATTGTTCGAAATTCTGATGTTCAACCATCCAAACCAGGGAGTAAGGAATAGAAGGGAGATATAACTGACGCGGTTCGCCCTACCATATGATTATGCGTGCTTTGCAGACGGGTACTCCATTTTTATAAGAAATATTCAAAATAGGTTATTGTATACGCGGTAATTGTACATCAGACAAATATTTCTTATACAAATGGATTACGTGTCTGCAAAGCATGTATAATCATATGGCATGGCGAACCGCGTCAGTTATATCTCCCTTCTATTCCTTACTCCCTGATCCAAACCGATAACCCTTGATGATGCTTAATGGTACTAACCTGCATGCCCTGTTCTGTTCCTGTAAGGACGTAGCTACATGTCCCCATTGTTCCGCCGATCAAAACAGGTTGACCGGTCAACTGGTAGTCGACAGGTATCAAAGGATGATGCGGAGGAAAGGCACGTGTTGATCCTTTCCTGTGGACCAGTAACCGCTTCCTTTTCCCGTCAACGATGTGCTCTTCCATCTTGGCGATATTGTGGCTGACATCGTATATCACGTGCATGTCCAGGTCGTCTGGTGTGAGGTTAAACATCTTGGCGAACGCTTGACGTGCTAGGAATGTCATGGAGCTACGGTTGACCCAGGCAAAGTTGGCCGCGGCAGCCATTCCACTCAGATATTCTTTTCCCTCCTAAATAAATATATTATAATGTTTAAAAAAAATATGTATCAGTAGTTAGTGGCCATTAATTTTTGATAAGGATCCGGTTTCAGATTTCTTTCTTATTAGAACTGAGACCGGATCCAAGTCCAAATGACGAGAGGAAAAATACATAATACCTTCGAGTTTATCCTAGCACAAGCCAACTGACGGTCATTAACTTCAATTTTATCTCTCTTCATCGCCTTCTCCATACTAACAAGGGCATCTGTTGCAACCTAGGATATACCAGCTTCAACTGCTTCATCAGAAATCGTACTTTCGAGTAAAGTTCTCAAGTGACTAACTATTAGAGTTGAGTTGAGTTGAGTTAAGTAAATCAAGTATAGTCACGTCGAGGTCGAGGTTGAGTTGAGTTGAGATGTACCTGATGTCCGAAGCCCCTGGATCCGCAGTGTATCATGAGAACAACCTGACCCTTGGCATCAATACCCATCTTACTCGCAGCAAACTTGTCGTAAATCTCATCTACTACCTGTATTGTTAATAATAATTAAATATATCAATAAATCAATCAATCGTTCATTCATCCTTTCATTCTATCAATCATCCAATAATTTACCAACTAATATGAAAACTTCATTGGATATACAAGAGTAATTTTCTCAGAAATAAAAACATTTTAAAACTCCTATGGACTTTCTTTATTTAGTTTCATTCAGTATTTTTTTTAAATTTTAATATCAAAATTTTGAATTTTAGGGACATATTTTAGGAAAATAAGTTTTTATGTATAGAGACAATTTCTTTTATTTGACTATAGAAGAAAGGGGTCTCATCCTTTCATCCATTATCATATCAATCATCCAGCAAATCAATCAATCAATTAGACTTTTATACTTTCTCTATCACATAGAATCTCTCCAACTTATAGGAAAACTTCATTGGATATACAGGAGTAGTTTTCACAGAAATAAAAACCTTTTAAAACTCATATCGACTTTCTTTATTTAGTTCCATTTAGTAATTTTTTCATTTTATTATCAGAATTTTGAATTTTTGGGACATATTTTAGGAAAATAAGTTTTTATGTATAGAGACAATTTCTTTTATTTGACTATAGAAGAAAGGGGTCTCATCCTTTCGTCCTTTCATTCATTCATCATATCAATCATCCAGTAAATCAATCAATCAATTAGACTTTTATACTTTCTCCATCACATAGAATCTCTCCAACTTATAGGAAAACTTCATTGGATATACAGGAGTAGTTTTCACAGAAAACTCATATCGACTTTACTTAGCTCCATTTAGTAATTTTTTTCATTTTATTTTCAGAATTTTGAATTTTTGGGACATAATTTAGGAAAATAAGTTTTTTTAAAGAGACATTTTTTTCTTTTTATTATCAGAATTCTGTATTTTTTAGGACATAATTTAGGAAAATAAGTTTTTTTTTGTAAAGAGACAATTTTTTATTTGACTTTAGAGAAAGGGGTCTTCCCTGGGATAAAAAGAATTAAATTCTTACTTGTATTTCTGCATAATGGTTTCCTGCTCCCAGAGTACCAAGCTGAGGTAAACCTCGCTTCTTAGCTCTGGTGGAAACTACTGATGGATCAGCATTCAACATTCGTCCATACTCCTCACAGTGCTCCTACACAAGAACAAAATACAATTAGTATTTAGATGATCTTAAAATATTCGAATTGACCTTTTTTAAATGTAGTTAAGTTAAGAACCAGAAGAATTAACGATGAGATTACTAAAGTATCTCAGAGAAGTAGCTGCACATAATTCATCTTTCTTTTACTCAAGCATTTTCCATTTTTCTTCTTCTTTGTACATTGTCAAGATGAATAATTTTTCCGGTCAATGCTCAAAGAAAATATATCTTCTTATATATAATAAACCTCTTTGCATATATATATATTTTTTTTGTATATATTATGTATATATTTATATTTGTATATATATGTTAGCCATTGCTAGCCAAACAGGTGGACCGTACAAACTGAAATTTTTCAAAATTCGATTTTTAAAAAAATTCCACGGGCAAAGCCGGGCATTTTAGCTAGTAAAACCTATTTTAATGATATCCATAGCAAGAACAGGGAGAGAGGGGGGGGGGGGGAATTAAAATCCAACCAAGTTGCGAATAAGCCTAGTATATGGTTAAATAAACTATAATTGAAACCATTACTCGGACTTTAATCATAACAAGATAGATCATTATTTTAAATCCCGGAACTCAGTATAATTGGAGAAATTACTCATTTATAATACTTTTTCTGTTCGAAACTAGTTAAAACTTGTATGACAAGAAACCAATAATTCACCCTTAGTTGAAACGTAGGTATTTAAAAAAAGTTGAAATTAATGGACTAATAAAAACGTTAAAAAAAGTTGAAAAACAGAGTGATTATTTTACATCCATTAAAAATGTCTCCAAAGATTCACAACGGTACATCCGGTACATAACCAAAACTTGGAAAAATATCTACTTCATCTTGTTTAGATCTAAAAAATTAGTTTTTAAAGATATAAAATATCGTCCCGTCACCTTATCTTCAGCCCAAACATATCCTTCTCTCAAGCTCCAATCCATCCCCATCTCCAGAGCTTCGTCCAGGTCCCTGAACAGTCAGAAGTCAACAGTTTGCTCGCATTAGAATACAGAGAGTAACAATAAACATGATTAAAGGAAGTGTCGTTTTAATTTCAATTGACCTTTCATTTAAAAAAGGGACCCGTTAAACCTTATCTGACAAAATAATTTTTTTCTCTCAATATTTTAACTTAGAGAAAAACATTTTGAGAATTTATTGTTTCATTTTACTTGCTTTTTTAACTTGGAGGAACTGTACAAATATTTCAAGTAACCCTCCATTTAAAGATGCCCAACAATTCCATTTAATCAATGTATTATACGAGGATAACAGAATTAAATGAGGAAGGCAAAGGTGTCCTTTTCAAAAGCAGTTACCTAGCATTTATTGATATAATACCCTTGCTACCGACCCATACAGGAATATAACAATAGTTACCTAGCATTCATTGGTATTTGGTATAATACCCTTGATACCGACCCATACAGGAATATAACAATAGTTACCTAGCATTCATTGGTATAATACCCTTGCTACCGACCCATACAGGAATATAACAACAGTTACATAGCATTTATTGATATAATACCCTTGCTACCGACCCATACAGGAATATAACAACAGTTACCTAGCATTCATTGGTATAATACCCTTGCTACCGACCCATACAGGAATATAACAACAGTTACCTAGCATTCATTGGTATGATACCCTTGCTACCGACCCATACAGGATTATAACAACAGTAACATATCATTTATTGATATAATACCCTTACTACCGACCCATACAGGAATAAAACAACAGTTACCTAGCATTCATTGGTATAATACCCTTGCTACCGACCCCTACAGGAATATGATCGAAGAGTGACTGGGCAAGCTGTTCCTTGACAGGTTGAACATCCTCCTCGAATAAATTTGTTCGAATTAATCGAACCCCACAGTTTATATCGAACCCTACTCCTCCAGGAGAAACTACAGACATCGGATCCTAAAATAATATTAGAAAAAGGTTTTATTTTAATAAAATATTCATGGTTATGTTTCATCAATACTGTTATTTGTTAAGTAAATATTAACTAGAAATAGGACCTATAAATGGACAGGGTTTGCTTAAACATTTTAAAGAAAAAATGAACTCACGTCAGGGAGTGACAGCAATTATCAAAAATGTCAAAAAAAGAAATTTCCCAAATGCCTGGGTATCTGGGAAATTTCTCAGCTACCCAGGCATTTGGGAAATTTTCCAGATACTCTGGCATTTCAGAAATTTCCAAAATCTTAAAAATATACCACCCTCAAATACCTATAGGAATTTGGGGAATTTCCTAAATGCCTGGGTATCTGGGAAATTTCCCAAATGCCTGGGTATCTGGGAAATTTCCCAAATGCCTAGGTTTTTGGGAAATTTCCCAAATGCCTATTTAAAAAAATATGTTAATGCTGTCGTGTCATGACTCACGTTCAAATCTAAACCTTATTTGTTTTGATCAACATTTGGACCAATGAGGAATCAAATTTGTGAGCTGTTTTTGTTTTTTATTTATCTCATGGTTTATTCATTTTATCATTAAAGTGCTTTTAGGATCCATTTTATTCTGATGCGGATCCGTATCCTGGATCCTCCATGGAAGATCCAGGCCCTAAACATTTCTTGTAAGATTTACTGATTTTTTAAATCAATTTTTTTTCTTCTTTTTTTCTCACTTATTTTTATGCTGAAATTTAGTGAACCCACAGATATTAGAAAGTTTTCACCTTTCTCTTATTAGTGAAAAATTTTGATTTGTGTTTTGAAGACAAATTTTATGGTTCTGATTGATATTTTTTCACTTGGATCCGCATCTAGGAAGGATCTAAGGATCCAGCGGATTCTCAACCTTAGCACTGCATTAAATTCTTGAATAAAGCTACCTCCATATCAAAAGCTGCCATATTTCCTATAGCGAACCCGTATCCAGAGTGTACATCTGGTAAACCTACAGATCTACCAACTATTCCTAAAATAATGGTTTAACTCAAGAACATTTATCATCCTCCCCGTTTTCAACATAACCATAATCAACAATTACATTTAAGGATCAAAATTTGGTTCGATTAATTTGTTTTAGAGCTTTGTGTAAAAAGTTTATTCATGAGTTGATAAACTTTATGAGGGTGGGGAATCGCAGTCGGTCAATAGGAGCATAAAGCTGCTAAAAAATCACGTCCGGGTAGATCCGAAGTATCGTAGGACAATCATCATTTCTACTTAACTCTTCTAAATAAATTTCCCCTTTCTACCTGGGAGAGCAGCTACATTAGCGATCTGTTTTACTCCGGGTAGAAATCCTCCAATCATCCCTGGTCGGCAGGAATTACGCAGCTCTTCAAACATTAGTTTCTCCAGGTGAGAGTTCACGTAGAATACACCCTAAACGGATTTAATCTTTAAATTCTGCTAAGTTCCTAGGATTTTTATGAGTAGAACGCAGAGTACCCCCCATAGAATGACACTTAAGAGACGACAGTATTAAATTTACTAAGGTTTTGATTCTTTCCCTTCAACTGCCAGAAGGTTGACTCCCTCACCCAAATAATCATTTGAATGAAGCAACGACATCGTCTTAAGTCTTAACCTATCCTAAATTCAACTCCTCTACTCCAATACTTGTTTCAAATACTCTACTCCTATCCTTGGTTCAGCTCCTCCCCTCCTATCCTTGGTTTAGCGTATCTTCTCATATCCTTCTATCCTTAGTTCAACTTCTCTACTCCTATTCTTGGTTCAGCTCCTCTACTTCTATTCTAGGTTCAACTTATCTATTCCTATCTTTGACTTAAAACGAAAATAAGGAAACACGTCTCCTTCCAATGATATTACTTAATAACGAACATTACCCCATTTTAGGTATGAATATAACAATTTCGGTTCGATTTTTTAAATCAACGTTTTGTCGGGACAACTTTCACCTCGACATTCATATTCGGTTGAAACCCTTTCTTTATTCTCCAGCAGTGGTCATTGATTCTCTCAATGTACTGCATTTCATCGTCGTACGATCTAACAACCATTTTAGATCTGAAAACAAGGGTGAAAAACTAGGTAATGAAAAAAATTTATTTTATCAAAATAAACTACTGGATATGAATCGGAAAAGAAAAATAAATGCGAAAATTGAATTTATGTTTACATAAATGTTTGTAATCACAGGGTTAATAAGACACCGAAAAGTAAATTTATCAAATAAAATGCAGAGGAATAATAAACTGCCGAAACATGCTGAACAGCAAAATGAACAATGAACATTGAACACTTATGATTATCAGTTGAGCACGAGAATGAATAGACATTTAATCTATTTCTTGCATGGTTGCTGGATAATCTTGGGTTTGTTGGACGCCCCCATCTGATGAGTTGGAACAGGCTTCTCATGGAAGGCCTGAATTGCAGCTTTAGGGAAGGCCTCCTCGACCCCTGAAGAACAAAAGTTCAACAATACAAGAATCTATGGTTTTTACACTTTCAACTAGCTCTAGATGTTTATAAGTTAAGCATCAAAGAACCACTAAAAATTTTGAAGTGTGAAACATTTCAGATTATTGAGTGGAGCCTTCGAAAAGCCAATTAAGCTTAAATTTGTAAGAAAGGGAGCTTAGTATATTCAAGAAACAATAACTTATCAAAGCTCAAACTGTGATCAGAATATCTAAATACAAACATAACTTCTTTTTTTTCTTGTAAGAAGGAGGACCAAAAGTTTAGAAAACATGTCAACCCTTCCGTGTAAATCCGTTCAAAGCTCAAATTACAGGAAATAATAAAATTTACCCATTTTAGCTCCAGATACAACAATATCAGCATTCTTCTCCTTCTTATCCTCTCCAAACTCCTCAATCTAGAATAAATATATCATGTTCCGTGCTTGCTTAAAAAATCTGAGTCGAAAATTTGTTGTAAAATGTGAGAAATGTTAATGTCAACAATTAATTGTTTCGAATAAAAAAAAAGAGGATTTTCATAAAATATAGTTTTTTCTTCTTCATTTTTTCTCCCTCTATAACATAAGACTTACTCCCTATCATTTAAACAAAAAAGTGTTTAACATGTTCTGTTTCTCTTAAACCTTCAACAATATCGGGGGATTTAGACCCAAACCCACGATTTGGCCCATACCTAACAGTGTTAGGAATGGGCATGATGAACAAATATTTGTTCAATTATACAATTGTTAAAATTACCTCCTATTAAGTTTACAGTAATTTTTACACAAACAAATTACAATGTTGTATTAGTATTTGAAGGTTAAGTTAGGTGGCTAAAATTTCTGGGCCGGTCGCTGCTGAAGGCCCCCCCCCCCCCCCCCCCCGCTGCCCTTCTTAGCGGTATGGCATCCCTAATTTGTCCCATTTCAAACCAAAGGACAAATACTGCTTATCACTTTTCACAGGATGGGCTACGTAGGCCTAAGTTGACCCGGCACGACATGCTGCGTTTTTACGATAGTTTTAGAGTGCCATCTCACGGCCATTTGTTGAATATAATACCCATTCAGGGGTTAGTTTTACAACTTAAAATACACATAAAAATTACCTCCTCATCAGTAGGTTTGACAGGTGATTCGGATTTATCTTCTCTCGGAGCTTTCTGGACAACCCTCATCCCTCCAACCTTGAGAGCAGGGGCATGTCCTCCCTTCAGGTCCTGAGCGTCAGTATCTCCCATCCTTAGATTTGTATAGTTCTGGAAATATAAATTTGAATCCTAGAATTCAATCTACAAAATGTTCCCACATCCTTCTGAGTTCTACGATCATCTAGAATTGAAAAAAAATATGCAAGAACGAGCTGTAATTTTCCAGAGAACAATTTTTAAACCCCCCTCATCAATTTAGTACAATAACAAAGTTAGGCATGTGGCCGCAGCGTTCGGCCCAGAAATTGTTTTAAACTAACCCAATAATCGTTTTCTAGGACAAACCCAAGGACGATTTTTAGGCCTTTAACAATCAATTTTGACAACACTTAATGTAAAAATGTATCTGTGTGAATTAGCAGTAATAGTTTCTTTCTTACACTGCAATTATAGTAACAGAATAATAAGTAATTCTGCTCATTTCTCTAGTTCCTAGTAAACGATTTTTGGACCCCACATCAATTTTGTACGAGCATCCCATATGAATCACATGTATACAATTGATCATGTGGCGGCAGCCACCGGTTCCTAGCCTGTCCCAGCCGCGGCGCTCGCGGCCCCTAGCCCACCGATCTCCAGCAGCGCTCGGTCCCCTTAGCCCGCAGTCGCAGTCCAAGCAGCATAGCTCGGCCAGAAAATGAACCCTTTTATACTACAAAACATATAATAATTTTGCTGAAAATTAGTTTGTCATGTACAAAATTGATAGGAGGGGTGGATCTAAAAATCGTATACTAGGACGGACCCAAATATGCAGTTCAGATCTAATAATGAAACTTGTTAAAGAATAATTTTGATGTTTCTAAATGCTGGCTAATTGAAACCTTTCAACAGGTCAATAATAATATAGGGTCCGTCCTAATATACGAATTTTGGACCTCCCCCCACACTCCTTTCCATTTTGTACGTGACTTAGATTTCAACTATTTTCAACTTCAACATAAAAATATTTGTTTAGTATTATCTCAAGGTTAGGTCAGCACAATTTCTGGGTAATTTCCCCCCCCCCCCCNTAATTTAGGCGTATTAAACTAAAATAATTAAAATGTCAGAAAAAAAGGAATACTTTTTTCTACAAAAAAAATAACTTTTAAGGAAATTTACAATAGAAAAAATCATACTTTTTGTCCTTGTCAGAAACATACAACATACTGTTGCTAAACTTTCATAAAAAAAAACTTTTTTAACATGCATTTTTTGTAAACTTTTATGAAGAAAAAAAAAAGTTGCTGAATAACGTATGATGTTCGTTTTGGATTAGAGTTACACATTTCAAAATACAATTATCAAAAAGCAGGCACGTAACCAGGATTTTTTCAGGGGGGGGGGGTGCAAAGATGCGCGCTGCAGGCGAAATGTTTTTTTTTTTAAAGCAATGCTTGGTTTGTTTTTTACGGTGGTCGGTGGTATATGGTTTTCTTTATTACATTGTCAATGTACGCTATAAAGACTAACCTTTTTAACAAGTCTTTTTAAGCTTTTAAGGGTTAAATTTTAGTGTCTGAAACTTTTCAGTTTACATATACAATATGCATAAAAAATAAATGAACGGTACTTTAGCTTAAGGAAAAAATTCATTATTTAAAATCAAGGCTTCTTGTCCCTCGGCCTCATCATGATATTATTAAGATGAATAAAAAATAAAATTTCTAATACTTGATCAGAAAAAAACTTTTGAGGTTACGGTTCCAAATTGGGCATTGCCATCATGGAATGAAAGGTCATTTGAAATTAAGCTTTCAGTCCCTTCAAGCAGAAGAATTTAGGTATAGACTTGAGTAAAGAAGTTCAAAGAGCAAAAAACAAGTTCCGAACAAAATCGCTGACTTCGGCTTTATTATCTAGTTTAAAAATACTTTACTCCAGTATCTATTATTTATCTTTTTCTTTGTTATATTTTTAAACAAATAAAAAATATTAAGTTTTAAGGATTTCGAGTCAATTGTTTCAATTCAATGATAGTATCTATTAAATAACTACGTTCAATGTTAAAGTTTCTAAATACATTAAGTGACAAATGTAAAAAAATTTTATTTTATTATATATTTCTATGGTATGACTAACACTTTTCAACCCACCAAATACAATTTAACAGCCATAATAAATCTAAAAAAGTACTGATAAAATAAAAATCTATAAAATTGCTTGTTTAGAAAACAATGCTTGTTTTTTACATTTTGTATATAATGCTTCTCTTTTAAATACATTAAATGATGATTATAAAATTATTTTAGAGCAAAGTTGGAAGTTTGAAAGTGCATGAAAATGATTTGAACTGTTAATTGGTTTTGTTACAAAGATTTGCAGCTAGAAACAAAATATACAGAGTGTCCCATAAACATGGGAATTAAGAGACGACACTGCTTATTGATAATGTCAAAGTGAGTATCAATATACGGTTGTAGATCTTAAGACCTTTTAACCGGGGGACTGGAATAAAGTTCGTCAATTTTGAAAGTAACTGTAAGAAAATGGAGGACCAAATTATAGAAATCTCAAGACGAGAGTTTCTATTGTTTATTTTATGTGTAATACTTTGTGTTCACAAAAAATACCGCGTGGGTCAAAGACGATGTAAAAGTTGTCACTTAATTCCCATGGTTTTTGTTGGGACACCCTGTGGAAAATATAAGGATAAAATAAAGTATTTTTCCTCCACTGGGTACAATAATCTTCCTTACTTTATCTTTATATTTTTTGAACATAAACACATGCAAAGAATACAGGATACAAGTTATCTTGTCAAAATACGAGAAACAGAAATTAGGAACGGGATACACGTATATGATGCAGGATACACAGGACAAAGAGATCAGAAACGAATAGTATTGAAGGATACAGGAAATTAAAAGAAACACGATGCAGAACACAAGAAACAAACAGAATACTTCATAAAGGACACAGAGTGAAGAAGCTTTGAGACAAGATGCAATGAGAAAATTCACACACAATGCAAGAACATTTTTAAGATGTACATTGTACAGAATGAGAGACAGAATTGTAAAAATCTTACAATTTATACCAGGCTTAAAGGGACAGTAAAGGAAAAATGAAAGGGGGTATAGTCTGAAAGCTAATCACTTTAGCTCTTGATCGCGGCCCATGAAAGTTATATCTGATGTTCATGTCTCGAGAAATTGATATTCAACTGTGTCAAATATATACGAAAATTAATATATATACAATTTTGTATAAAAGTAGTAGGTTTTAACAGATCATATTCAGCAAATAAGCAACCAATCTGAAAACAATGATATCCCAGAGAAAGCTAATTGTAAATTAGGTTTACTTTTATATTTGTTATTTCTATTTTCAATAGATTTCATTCATAATATTATTTTTACGTCCGTATTACTTGACCAGAAATTCCACCAATGGCAGTGCAGTAAAGTGGTCACGTGATACATGCGGAGACACGTGACCAGTATACTGCTCTGCCATTGGTGATAGTTCTGGTCACGTGATTTAAGTTTCAGATTTTCAAAATTTTACATATATGAATTTTCGTATAATTTTAACACAGTTGTATATCAGTTTCTCGAGACAGGAACATCAGATATAACTTTCATGGGCCGTGATCAAGAGCTAAAGTGATTAGCTTTCAGCCTATACCCCCTTACATTTTCCCTTTACTGTCCCTTTAAACATTCAAGGAATCAGGGACGCAGCTGATAAACAAATTAAAAATAGTAAAATTCAGACTTTATAAATTATAATGCACCCGTTATTGCGGATTTGAAATAAGAAGAGAAAATACTGTGGAAATCAGACACTGCAGGAAAGGAAAAAATAGAAAGAAAGTAAATACCAATATTGAGATAGTACAATACAGAGTACAATATGATTAAACAAATAACTATTATGATGTAATAGAATTAATAGAAGGAGGGATTAGGAGTGAGTACAGTTGGCGTCACAGACATGTCCCGCCTCCTTAGCAGTGTGGAGCAGTCTCTTCGCTACTTTCTGCAGATCAACCCTAGGTTTAAAATATTGATTTTGAAATAAAGTTTCTTACTCAATGATCTGAATAAATACTATAACTAAAAGTAAATAGTCAACACTGCTATCCTGATCAACACTGCTATGGTCGGCAGCTCCCAGCTTATCATGGCTTACAATTGGCCGTTTATTTCAGTATTTATAATATTTATTTCATATGAAAGAGGATCCAGGAACCCAAAGTAAATTGGGATACTTTGACATTTATTTGAAAGAAATTTGAAATTTTATTTAATTAATTTGATACTAAATAATGTAAGGTTATGACTTGAAAGTAGAATTCCCCCCCCC